TGTAATTGAAATGGATAGATATACCAACATTAATAATAATTAGGGGAAAATATTTTTTTAGTCCATAAATTAAAATATAAAAACATTTCTAATTTAACATAATTCAATTTAATTTTGAAATATATTAAATTATTTTAATTTCATCTAGGATCATCATAGCTATATACAACTCTCGTCTTACCTACTATTTCTAGCTCCTGACCGTCTTTCTATCAGTCGAAAAAGGTAAAAAATAGTACAACAAATCAACAACGTTAACAAAAATATATAAAAATATAATTAAGTTTGATATCATTATTATCCAAATTTTTAAATCTATTTGACTTATTTTTGTCATTTTTTTAATATTTTCAAAACTTTGACGAAACTCTAAGAAAAGAAATTAATTAATTAATTATTTAAGGGCCTTATCCTTTTTTTTTATTATCAAATTTATCTAAAATCTAGAGATAAATATTAGAATAAAAAAGTTATTAATACTTGACATAATTTAGCGGATAATGTAATTACCGTCTTTGTAGTTTATAAATAAAAAAAGTTATAACATTGATTTTTGTAAAAATTATGACGTCATAATTATAAATAAAAATGACGTGTAATTTTGCACGTCGAAATATCAAAAGTCGACATTGGAACCGAGTGGGTGTCGAAGACGGCAATGTCGACAGTGGTCGACTGAGTTCTAATGGGCCACAAGCCCAGCCCATGTACGAGCCCAAATATCAATTTTTTTTTTTTTAAATGTGACAGGCAGCTTATTTTTAAAAAATAGTTTAAATGAAAAATAACTAAAAAAAAATTGTAATATTTGAGTTTCCGGTTATCAAAATTATTGAATTAGTTGATGTCAAATTACGAATTTACCCTTTTCATCCATTCATATAATTGATTTGAATCACTATCAATGAATAGAATTTCACCTAGTAACTTTAATCTTGAGTAAAATAGGTAAAAAAAAAAAAAAAAAAAAAAAAAAAAAAAAAAAAAAAAAAAAAAAAAAAAAAAAAAA